AAAAAAAAAAAAAAAAAAAAAAAACTAAACTAAAACTAAAACGAAGCGTCATCTGGCGCTGGGAGAACTGACGGGGACTTAGTGTCCCCACGAAGAGTAACGGGCGCCCGTTTTTCGGGCAGCCCTTTCAGTTTGAGGTGGTTTTTTTTTTTTTTTTTTCTCCTTTAGTTTTTTTCCTTATTAGATTTTGCTTAGATTTCTTTTTTGGATTTCCTTTTTAGATTTGGGTTAGATTTTTTTTTTGTCTTTTCTTTTTCTCATGGTACCCATTCGTTTCGAACGAACGGGCAGAGGCAATTGGGCTAAGACTGTTTCGTCGAACCTTCACCGACTCATCAGGGGGTTGAACCCCGACAGTCTGCCCGTGGGAAACGAATGTGCCGCCCTAGGTGGCCAGGTTCAGACAAGAGAGAGAGAGAGAGAGAGAGAGAGAGAGAGAGGGGCCAACTTACCTGCGCCCGTTGGATGTAGGAACGGGCTGCAGTATTTGTTGGCGCGCCCGAACCTGGCGCCGAGAGCATCCGGGTATGGGCGCGAGGCAAAGGGTGGAAAGACAACCCTGTTGAGCTTGACTCTAGTTCGACTCTGTGAAATGACTTGGGGGGGGGGAAGTGCTCGCTCGTTTTTAAACGACGAGCTGCCCCTGCGGTAGGAAAAAAAAAAACGAAAGGAAGAAAAAAAAGGGGGGAAGAAGTTGGGAAAGAAAAGGGAACGGCCGCGGATCTAGCCGCGGCCTCGGTCCAGATGCAAGTTTAGAAGCATTTGGACTGTGAATAGACTGCAGACTGTTGTAACCAACAGTCTGCTCAGAAATGGCTGGGTACTGCCATTTCTGGACTGCCTCTGGCCGCGGGTGAAGGCCGGATGCATAGCCAGGGTTCAGAACTTGGTTCCCCTAGGGGAACATCAAGTTTCCTGGCCCTTGATCACGATTAGATCAAGGGCCAGACCCTATTCCGGGATTTGGCTGGGGGCAGAGTAGCTGCCCTCAGCCTTCAGCCAGCTATAAAAGCTAGCTTGCCACCCAACAGCCTCACACTTGTGGCAATGCAGCTGGGGCATTCTACTTGATTAGATGCTGGTTGGCTGGCTGTTGGTGTGATGAGGCGAAGTGCTGGAGGTCTGCAGAGGCACTTGGAGGAAGGAGGAGGCAGCCATAGCGAGAGGCTGGGAGC